TATATATATATAGCATGTAAACACAAACTTTGAGGGAAAAAGACAATACAAATCTAGACTAGAAGATCTGATAGGCGACGTCTCCTCACCTTGTGTCCTCTGAGTGCTTCTCTTTGCAACTTTCTTGGGTGGAGGAGAGATTTCAGAAAACCCACTAGACTCTGAGCAGACTGAAACTGGAGACAGCTGTGACTGAGGAGACAGAGCCTCATCCTGGATGGAAAAACAGATCCAACTTATTATCCTGACTTTGGTACTTTAGATACTAACAGTAAGCAGATGGCTGCAAAGGAGCTGATAACAAAACAATAACTACAAAAAATACAACTMAATTCCTAGAAATGTTTCATAATGTGTCCTTTGCTCATTTAATATAAATCAKATATATCAAGTGACCTTGCTGAAATTTTAAATCTCGAAGCTGATAAATGTGCCCTTTGATCGTCAGGATTATTAGCAGACAAATATGTTCTGATGCAACCTTTGTCTTTGTTTTGACACACTGTGAAAACATCTGCCTGCTAAATTATGCTAATGTGTCTAAAGTTGTCAGCACCTTTTTTAATGAAGGGCTGGCACATGGCTCAGACTGACTGTTAATAATTTGCAAGACAAGGTGTTAAAGGCTTCTGTTAATAAGTTCCTCAGGGGAGAATGTGTCGCTCCACAAAAGCAAAGAGCTGCTGTCGTTATTTGATTCTTATCCCGGTGGACTTTTTATAGCAATCTTATGCAAATACTCGCAACCAGTAACAACGGCGAAAGCATTTACATTGCAAATTCAGTCCAAAGACAGAAAACCAAGAATAGTTGAAGGTAGTGTCTTTACGTGTGAGTAGGACGGAGACAAAGTTTCCACAGAAGCAGGAGAGGGGACGGAGCTCAGAGTGTGGGCAGGTGACAGAGAGTCCACACTCACCTCACCATCTGGAAGCACAAGGACACAGGAAGAGTCAGGTCATACAACCTCATAAAAATGTCAAGTCGTTCAGCTTATCATTAACTACAAGTCCCAACACTTCTTATCACTTCAACTACTTCCATGTCACTTATAAGACAGCAAGAACAAAATGAGATGCACAAAAGTTTCTGAGAACAGAAAACAAAATGTTCTGCCTGGAAGATAATCTGAACAATCTCAATCAAGAGTCAAGAGCGATGTCAACATGTACGAATAAATTAGTGCATAAACTTAAAGCTGTGTACAAAACAGGGTTTAGCAAGTTGTTTTTGTTTTACCTGCCCTGTTGGGCAAGTGACACCAAATATTACCTGCCTGAAACAAAAATGTTCAAAATTTGATTGAATACAGTACATAAAATCTTCTACTGTACTAAAACGTGTACTGT